AAGGATAGAAGACTGGGTTGAAAACTGAGGACCCAGACGGACCGGGATGAGGGAGAGGCACCAGGCAGACATAGAGAGGGGCAAGAGGACCCGTGGGCGCACCCCATGTCTGTGGAGCAGATGGTGGGGAGGAAGAGACTTTCAGAAAAAGAGGAGGGAGTGGGCAGGAGGTGAAAAAGTTCCCTTTGGCCTCATCTCCCACCTGTAACCGGGGCAGTGAGCTCAGCCAAGTGTCCTTGAGACCAAAGCCGGAATTAAATCCTGCGGACCGAAGGAGAGCAGGGAGAAGCTGGCTCCCATGGTCGTCTTCTCTCCCACCTTCCCCACACTCCTACCCCAGGCTCTTACCAATAACCAGGTCAGGCTTGGGCCCCTGGAGCAAGTGGTAGGGCCGTGCAGACACTTTGATCTGCAGGTCCCTGCGACTCCCCTTCTCCTTAGTCCCAGAGCTGAGCCGTGCTGATACCCCAGGACCAGGACGGGCAGATACTTCGGGGCCATCCTGGGGAGCCAAGAGTCGGGTGGAGAAACCACTGGAAGTTAGTGTACTGGAAGATGCATTAGGTAAGACAGGGAAGAGGGAGGGGGAGAGGAAGGGCAAGGCCCAATCAGGATGACAGCAGGATGAGAGCAGGGTCCCCCTCAGCCCTCACCCTCTGCAGGGTAAAATGCTGCTGGTCACTCTCAGGGGGCAGGCCGTCACCCACAAACTGCAGCTCCAGGGCCACGTGGGGGAGCAAGACCAAGAGCTCCTGAAGGACAGAGAGGACAGACTGGGTCCCACCCTGCATCCACCTGCAAACCCAAATGCCCAACCTTCAGGCCTGGAGGGACTTACCCAAAACACCATGACAAGGTCAAACTCCTTCCCGGCCTCCACCACGTGGATTTTCAGTGACTGTTTGTTCTGGATGTTGAGCTCAGGGACTGGGTGAGAAGCTAGCCGTTTGAGAATATGGTCCTCCTCCCTCCTTCCTCCTGTCCCCTACCAGCTCCCTGTCCCCCCTGCTCCATGCACTCCTCCCCTGCCTTGGCTCTCCTTACAGGACTGCGGCACCAGGTGGGTGATGATGTAGTACACAGTCAGTGGGTAGGTGAGAAGCACAGCCATGGGGGAGTCCAGGCTGAGGCCCCGCCATGTGTAGTAATCCTGCCATGAGCCTGGGGAGAGTGGATTACTGAGGGACCTGGCCCCAGGCCTGGACGCCAACCCCTTCAGTCCAATAACCCCCTTTTTCTCAGCCATCCAGACTGCTGGCCCTCCAGTCCCTGTCCCTACCTCTAGCTCCCTCAGGGCCCCTCCAGCTCACCAAAGAGGCCCCTGGGTGAATCCGGGGGCACAGGAGGCATCAGGGCAGGCCCGTCCCCCTGGAGAAGCTGGTAGGGATCTCCTGAGAGGATGAAAGGTAGAAGAGGAGCCTGGTGTCAAGGAGACCCCCACCTGGCCCATCCACCCCTTCCTTGCAAAGGATCTGTATTCCCCGAGAGAGGGCCTGGAGCTGCAGCAAGAGGAAATGGGCGGTTGCCTATGGATGGGGCTTCTGGATGGGTGGGTGGCGGACTTCTTTGAGGATTGGGGAGAGGGCTGAAGTGGCCCTGGTGGTGTGTATGTGGAGGGGTTATCTGGGACCTGGACAACTTTTTTCTGTCCCCTCTTTCCCTCTAGGCTGAGGGGCCCATGCCTGAAGAGAGGCCTCACGCACCACTGAGAAGAAGGCTGAGGGATGGCATGCTGCCCCAGGGGTGCCTGGGTGTGCCAGGGCCTGGAATGAGCATGCTAAGCTGGGTCCAGTAGCCACGAGTTAGGCCCCGCGTGGCCAGGAAGGCCTCCTTGTTGAAGGTTTCACTGGTCACTTCTGGAGAAGGAGGGGGGGAGGGTTGAGGGCCTAGTGGCTAGGAGCCCAGACTATGGCTCTCCTCAGCCTCTCCCAGGGACCCTGGCTCTGAGTCTGGTTCTAGTTATGGAGCCAACAACATTTCTGAGGGTCTACAATGTAGCAGTCACTGAGTTCACAGAATCCTTACAGCAATTCCCTGGGTTTTAACATTTGTTAGTATCCCTATGTTACAGATGAGGAAACTGAGACTCTGAGAAGTGATTTGTTTAAGGTCACCTGTTAGTGGTGGAGCTGGGAAGCAAGTGTTTGAATCCTTACTCCCGAATCTCCTAAGCTCTCAGGGACCTGGGCCTCAGTCCTCAGCTCTAGAGACCCTGTCTCCCGCTTCAGGGGTCTAGCCCCTAGCCCCCAATACCCAGCATCCAGCCCTTAATCCAGGGATCTAGACTCCAGCCCCAGGCACTTAGACTTCAGCCCCAGGACCCTGTTCCCAGGCACCCGGGCCCCAGTCACAAACATCTGTTTGCCCCACCATCCTGACCTCATTATGGTACCTGCAGTGTAGGTAAAAGGCAGGGTTGCCAGTTCTCCAGCCCGCTCCATGAAGGCTGCAAGCCTCGGGCACCAAAATCGGTGGCTCACATCATCTGGGCATCGCCGCCAGTCGGCCCGGAGACAAGCCTCTCCACAGTACAAGACAGCACTACACTGGGGGCTGGGGTCACAAGGGTGGTGGGCACCCGGTGTTAACCTCTGTAGGTCCTCTTTCTGCTGTCCATCTTCCCTGCAGCTGCCCATATGTCACTCGGTCTGTTTTTCTGTACACTCGCTGCTGTAACGGCTTTTTTTTTCTTTCATCTTTTTATTTCCCAGTCCCTCACTCTGTCTGTCTGCTGGGCATCCCCTGGCCTGCTTTTTCTCCTGACTGTTGGGGTCTTCCTCCCTCTCACCCCATCTTTGCAGGCTGCTCACCAGGGTGTCAGCTTCACTTCAAAGCTGTGCCTGTGACAAACATGGCAGGTTCGAGCCCGAAGGGAGGCAAAGGTGAAGCCTGGCCGGGGACCCCATGTCCGCATTGGGGTCTTGGCTAACTTCACTCCCAGCCTTGGGACCAGACTCACCAGCTCTCTGAATGGGGGTGGAGACAGCATCAGGTTGGAGGGTTCAAGAGTCCAGGCCCCTAGGCCTCCTCACCCTCAGATACCAGATTTCTGTACCGATGCAGCTGAGGATCTCCCACGGTAAGCTGTCGGGGCTTTCGGGGGTCTCCAGAGCCCATGGGGCAGGTCATGCTATGGCAGAGGAGAGCATAGGCCCGAGGAGCCAGGTTCTCTGTCCCTGAGACCCTGTCTGCATTCCCCTGTGTTCCATCCATGAGCAGATCAATGCCCAAGATGGTGCCATGTTCATCCGTCACCAATAAGAGACACGAAAGGTGCAGGGGGGCAGCCTCTGGGGAGGAAGGGAAAAGTCAGGGGTGGGGGTACCAAATTCAAATGCCTACAGGGGCCAGGCAGAATAACTAAGGGAGTAAAGCGGCCTAGTAGAGAAGGTATGCCTCATCTCAAGGGGACAGCAGCTACACAGTACCAGCATTTGCTGCCATGCAGAAATGTGGTCCTGCTGTTGGAACTTGAGATTTTTCTTGAGAAGGTGTAAATCCAGACTTCTGGAGTTTTTTGTTTTTCTTTCTTTCAATGTTTATGTTGGCTCAAATTAAAAAACATTGTAGGTCAATGAAAATACCTTTTTGGGCCAGACTGGGCTGAAGGCCCCCCGTGTGTGACTCCTAGCTGGTTCTGGATGGTAGAGGAGGGCTTCAGAAGGGGAGTATGCCTGGGCAGGGGGCAGGGCAGAGCCAGCCCTGGGTTCTTACCACTTCTTCGTCCCTTCCTCCTCTCAGGCCCCGTTTCGTCCTCTGCTCTGTCCTCTCGGCAGCCATCCTCGCCCCCTACTGCCTCCTGCTCAGCCTCCTCTGGATCCCCTGGAGGGTTTGCTTCCCCGGGGGACTCTCTGCTGGTAGTTGTTGGCTCTCCATCCTCCTCTGGTTCTACCTTCTCCGTGCCTGCACCCTCCTCCTCAACATTCTCTTCTTCTTCCTCCTCCTCCTCCTCCCCTTCCTCCCCTTCCTCCAGGCTGACAAAGCTGACATAGGGGCTTAGGTCTTGCAGGTGGAGTGGGGGCTCATCTCCTAGGAGCCGGGCAGCCCCCAGGCCTGGTCCAGGGCCTGGCTCTGCCCCTTGCCCCAGGCTGATGCCCACACTACGGTTGGGCAAGACATGGAGCACCCAAAGGGCAGGGTCCTGGGGCAACCTTCTGATCTGAGCCTCCAGCTGTCGCCAGCGGCCCTCAAGGCTGGCCCCCACAGCCCCTCGCTCCGCCACGAACTTGCGGAACCAGCCAAAGAGGAGGGCAGCGAAATCGAGGAACTCATCCCGGTATCCAGACACAAACTCCATGTCCTCAGGGGCACAGGACCTGGGCCCAGACTGAGCAAAGGAAGGGATATTTGGTGAGGGAGAGGGTAGTGGTGAGAGTTTGGGGCTGGGTCACAAAATGGGGGAGGGTGTGTTTGAGGATCACTTAGGGTGTATCTAATGGATAGTGTTAGGAGCGCAGAAAAAGGTTTTCAGGGCTGAGGAGATAGGAGTTCAGGATGAGAATGGGGACTAGACTTGAAAGTGGGTGATTAGGGTTACAGATGAGTCGTCAGGAGTGAGATGGTATTTGGTCTCAAAATTTGAGGCTCGAACCCTCAAAAGTAGGATTTGAATTGAAGATAGAGATGAGGGAGGGCTAATCCTATGGAGGAGGGTTTGGTGAGGAGGGAAGAATTTGGGATCGGTCTGTGGGGTGTGGGAGGAGGGAATAGGAGCCGAGGCATCCCTTTGGCTTGGATCGGTTTGGCGGTGCGCCCTAGTAGACCTAGCCCCTCCCGGCCGCTCCGCTACTCCGGTACCTGCAGCCGCCACCTCTTTTCGAAGGTAAATACCTCGGGACAGGGCGGTCGTGACGTCACGGCTGTCCGCGCCCACGACCCGCCCTTCGGGTGGCCGCGCCCGGGGTGGCAGTCTGGAGCGTGCGCGGAGCGGCCCCGGCCAGCGCGCGCTGCTGGGCGCGCGGACTTTGACGCCGGCATCACACCAGCCATGTGACGGGTCCAGCCGCGCCGGGACCCTTGCCGGGAAAGTGAAAGCTTCTTGGAGGAGAGGCGGGGTGAAGCGGCTCACCCGCGTCACCGACCCGGTGGAGTGACCTGGGGCAGGCGGGCATCCCCGAACCGAACTGCATCAGCCCTGTGGCCCCTGCCCGCCTGCCCCGCCTCGCTCTGCAGCCTAAGTTTTCTTTCGCTTTCTTCGGACATTCCAGACCTCCCCCTCGAAGAAGGCTCTGGGCCCGGCGTGGGAGAAGGGGCTCCGCCTCCAGGGGTTTCCCCGCCGCGGGAGGCGGGCAGGGGCGCGGGGGCCGCAGTACTGGCCGCGCTGTCTGTTCCAGACGGCGCAGCGCCGGGACGGAGGCACCGCCACCTCGCGCCTCCTCTTCGGCCGAGACTCGGCGCCTGCGGCCACCGTCTCCCCCAGCATCTCCAGCGGAGCAGGGAGCGAAGCGAAAGCCCAAGAGAAATCAGCTGGACGTCCTGCTCCGGAGCCTGTCTGGGAGTCAGACAGGGAAAGGCGGCCCCGAGATGAGGCGAAGCTGGGGACCCCTGCCCCTCGAGCTCCTACTTCTGCTCGTCTTGCTGACTCTGCGAGGTTCGTCAGGGGCCGGGCTGGGGCCCAGATCCCCGAATCCGGGCAAGGGAGTGAGTGTGTGTGGGTGGGTGGGGGGGCACTAGGGCCGCGGGGTTGAGTTAAATAAGTGGGGAGCCAGATGCGCCAGGGTCCCCAAGGCAGTCGAGGCAGAGGGAGGGCCTGGGGTTGAGGACAGAGGCTCGGAGACGCCTGGGTCCAGGTGGGATTATGGACGTCTTTGAGGGGCGTGATGTGTGGGTTGAGCCTTGGGGGTCCGACCCCGGTCTAGGGGAGAGACTGCGATGGGGCAGTGGTTGGAGGCTGAGTAATACCTGGGGGAGCCCTTTGGCGCAGAAACCTGTGCTGACCGCCTCTGTCTCCCTCAGGCGATGGCAACGAGGGCAGCGTCGCTGGAAGTTGTCGCTGTGATAAAGTATTTTCTTCCAACTCCCCTCCACCGGTTCAGTTCATGGAACATTTCCGGAAGCAAGTGCGATTCTATCAACGCTGTCCTTCCTACGTCAGGTAATCTCACCCACCCCTGGAGGACAGCGCCTCCGGAACCCTCTCTGGTCAAACTTGAACTCCTTCTGGGAGGACCTAGCCCCCTCTCCGGATTATGTTTGCCCTAATTCTGCTAATTCACCTTCATGTCCCAGTCCCACCTACCTGGATTTTCTCATCCCCAGCAGAAGGGGTTATATTTTGTCGGTGACTTCACCTCGTCGGAATGAGGAAAGAGCTGGGGAAAGGGTGGGGCGGTTGATGCAGCTGAGACCAGGTCCTTACCCCGCAGGTTCCACCTACGTTTGCGGAGTGTGTGCGGGGGCAGCAAAGACCAGTGGGTTCGTGAACTGATGAGCTGTTTTGATCGCAAAGGTGAGAGTTTCCCCCTCCTCTCCAGGCTCTAGGGCTCAGCGGCCTCCACTTTGCGCTTTCCCCCGTGACACCCGACATTCCTAGTACCTCTGACACTGGCGAAGGCCAAATTACTTTCACTTAAGTCCTTGTCTACCAAGCATCATTCACCACCACGTTCACGATTTTCGCCAATTCATCCTATCACCTGTGCTATTATTTACTTAATATTTTTCTTGAAATCAAGTCACTGTTTTTGTTTTCCGATATTTTCTTATGGAAATTTAAAGACATACAAAAGTTGAAAGAATTGTACAGTGAACATCCATGTACCCACACCTAGAGTCTACAATATTTCATTTATATATTTTTATATTTTACATATTTTATATAATATGCATATAATAAAGCAAATATATTTTACAATATTGAGTATACAACATTTGAACTATATTTGCTTTATTGCACATCTATCTCACTATCCATCATCAATCCACCTTATTTCTGAAGCATTTCTAAGTAAGTTGCAGGCATGACTATACTTCATCCCCAAACATTTCAGCATGCATATTATTAAGTAGAGTTCAATATTTTATTGTTCCTTTTTTCTTTTGAGGTAAAATTTACATACAATGAAATGAATAAATCTTAAGTGTACACAAGTCACTTTTGAAAAACTTAAGTAGCAACTTGTCCTAGGCAATAGCATCTGTGAAGTCACAAATTTGATGTGCTGGTTGTATTTTTCTCCTAAAATAAATAGACAACCATTAAAATGCAAAATGTTCTTCCATGTCCCACCTGAAGTTGTTTTGTGTAGCATCAGTGGTACACATACTACCCTTTGGGCTACACAGACCTACATTATTTCATTTAATCCTCCCAGCTACCTTGGCCCCTGGTACTAAAATTACCCCCACTTTACAGCTGAAAGAAATGAGTCCCAGAGAGGTTAAGAGACAAGGGGTAAGGTCACATAGCTACTTTGTAACAGAGCTGGTGTTCTAACTCAGGTCTCCTGACTTCCCAGTTCAGAATGCATGCTGGTCCCAGTGGTTCCATGTTGTGGTTTGCTCACTTCCTTGTCCCCCCAACTTTACCCTCTGCCCCTGCCTTCCTCTCCTGGCCTTCAGCTGTTCCCTTGATGTTCTCCTGGACCCACTATGCTTCCCTCTATCTACTTCTTCACCTTGTCCCCTCACAGCCCTGATTCCTCACTTCTTGCCTCTCCAGATTGTGGATATGGTAACCTTGGGAGTGTGGCCCGCCAGGAGCATTTACCTCCCCCCAGCACCCAGGTTCCTGGGCCTACAGAAAGGGCACCTTCAGACATGGTCACCCCTGCCCAGACGTACCTGCCGTCCACCCAGCAGCCCACCCAGCAGCCCACCCGTCCCACAGGAGCACTGTCCTTGGACAAAAAGCTCACTCACACCAGCGAAACCACCACTTCCACTTCGGGCCACAGTCTGGTGTCTGGGCCTGTGGCTGGGGAGAACCAGAAGCAGCTGAAGGAAAATGTGGGTTCTGCGACTGGGACGTCAGTCACAGTGGCAGTGCCATCCCTCTTGGCCATCGTCTTCTGCCTCACCGGAGTCCTCCTCTATGTGCTGTGTAAGAGGCGGAGGGAGCAGTCACTGCAGTGCTCTCCAGGTATACTGGGCCTCTGAACCCCTCCCCTAGGGACCAGAGCCTCCCTGGCAGGGAGCCTACCCCCAGTAGCTCCCAGGTGGCTGGAAACCAGCCCTAGGCAGACAAATATGAAAGCTGTCTGCACCATGGACCATAGGCCATGAGAGAAGAGTCAGCCAGAGACTATGGAATGGGAAGGCAGGGAAGCCACGACTGGCCCAGGGAGCTTCGCGTTCAAAGCCAGGCAGTGCTTGGAGCAATAAGAAGATGACAGCTAGAAATGGCTAGTGGGAGATGAAGCTGGGAAGGAAAGTGGGAGCCATTCGTTTAATTCACAAATCTTTATTGAGCACTTACTGTGTCCCAACTCTTAGGGTTAATGTTTTGGAGTCTGATTCCCTAGTTCAAGCTATCACCCCCACCCACTTCCCTCTATCTCAGAGCTCATCTCAATTTCTTTATCTTTTCCAGATTTGCAACTTCATTATACACCTGTGGCACCAGACTCCGAGGCTTGAGCTAAGAATGGAAGCTTGTGAGGGAAGAAATGGTGATTTATTCAGTACCACATGCTTTTAATACACTATGAAGTCTCTGGCACATGGTAGGCACTCTGTATGTGTTAACGTTTAATACATGATTAACCAGCTATTGCCCTCTCTTAGACCTTACCTGTTTTTTTTTCTGTGCTATAATGTAAAATCATCTTTTACACTGGGTAATATCTTGCACAAATTTTATATGTTTTTTAACTACTAAAAATTATTTTTATAATTATTGACTCTTCTTTCTGCATACATTGACCTGATGCCCTTGCCCCCTTACCATGATTCCTGGCTTCAGCCTCTCTGCTGATGGTCCCCCCTTGTCCCAACTCTCGCTTCATACTACACTAGCTGTTCCTCCCCACATTCAGGCCTCTCCTCCTTCCTCTCCCAAACCCACAGTGAAGGCCGAGGCTTTCCCACCCTCCCTCCTCAGCAGATGCCATATAGGCTGGTTTTACTTCCTCAATCCCTTGCATCACCCATATATGCCCCACTGAGACTCTGAGCTCCTTGTTTTTATTGTTATGTTTTTATTATTAAAATTCTTAGTTCTTGTTTTGTCTTTTCTGATGAAGAAGAATGTGTCTTCACTGGGTCAAGTCTGCAGGAAGCCTGCGGTAGGGACATGAAGTGTGTGAGGAAGTGGGGTAGGTGTCTGAATCTCCATCTCCCGTCGCAGCTTGTCAGCGCTTTTGTGAAGTGCAGAAGAGCAGGAGCACCCTGCCGGAGGAGCCAGGGCATAGTGTGGGCAGGCTTGATCTTTTAAGTTTCTCCATTCCCCCATTTTGCCCCTTTGTCCTCCTGTACTCTGACCAGCAGAGCATGTATGTGGCAGCCCATGCTCCCCATCCTACAGGTCTCCAGGTTCTGTCCTGGGATGCAGGTGGTGGTCTCCCTCCAAGCTCTTGCTCCACAGACTCCTTGGCTTAGTTTTCCAGCATCTGCTCACAGGTCCGGGCTACATCACTGAGCTTGAGGCGAGCATAGTCCACTCGCTTCAGGGCCATCTGACAGTCCTTCCTTGAAGAGTAGCTAGAGCCCTCATGGGGCTGCCCTGTGGCCACCTACAGGACAGTTAGATTGATCAGTGAAGCACCCCTTCCCTTACCATCTCCCCAACCAGGCATCCGGTCTCTTGTCTCATTTTTTCCCTGAATTTGAATCCATAATGCCACATGGTAGCTGGATGACCTAAGGCAAATCACTTAACTTCTGTTAACCTCATCTGTAAAACGGGAGTGACAATAACTACTTTCTAGAGTTGTAAGATTAGAGAAGATAATGCAGAGTGTCCGGCACATTGTACGGGGCCTGCCTGGTGGCGTAGTGGTTAAGTTCACACATTCTACTTTGGCGGCCTGGGGTTCACTGGTTTGGATCCTGGGCGTGGACCTACTCATTGCTCATCAAGCCATGCTGAGGCGGCATCCATATAGAAGAGCTGCAACTCTACAACTATGATACACAACTATGTACTGGGGTTTTGGGGAGAAAAAAGAAAAAAAAAAGAGGAAGATTGGCAACAGATGTTAGCGGAGGGCCAATCTTCCTAAAAAGAAAAAAGAAAAAAAAATTTAGTAAATGGTGGTTGCTGTTGTAATGACTTCAGAACCCTCTCAATCCTGTCCCTTTAATCAAGATGTAGCCCCACCTGGGGCTTCATGCCCCTGAGGTCAAGTTTCAAAGGGCAAAGTCCTGTGGCTTTGGCATTGTTTACAAGCCTCTCTCAGGGCTTCCCCATCCAGTGGCTCATGAGATGCAACCCAGTGAAGTAGGCAGGGTCACCTTTAATTCTCTCCTTTTAGAGGAAGAAACTGGCCCTGGAACGGAGGGGTCCTGCCAGGGTCATCCGCCGGCTGCGGCTAGCGCGGGCTTGGGATGTCTGGTTCTGCCTGGCTCCCTAGGCCAAAGCTCCGCTCGGGACCCCCGAAGGCTAAGGCTAAAGTACAGAGCTGGGTGGGCACGTAGCACCTCCCACCACACACACACCTGGGTGAGGTAGCGGATCTGAGACGACAGCTCCGCCTCCACGTGTTGCACCGACGCCGTGAAGGCTGCCGCCTGCCGGTCTAGGAGCCGCTCATTGGTTTTTTCCTTGGACAGTTCCAGGATCACGGTACCTGACGGGGCGGGGGAGAGGGTGGGGCTACCTGGAGACGGACAGTACAGCCCCGCCCCAGGGCCAGCCGCTCCCACCCGGCACGCGCCGCGCAAGCACCTAGGATCCCTCCCCAACCTCCTCCTACTCCCCAGTCGGCGGATGTGCTAGCGGGTCTGGCTCGCTCTCGCTCCCTGCCCTTTGGTCGTCGTGTCCCAAACCTGCATTTTGAAGAATGGCGCCGATTTCCCGTTCGATGTCTTCCAGGGCGCGTAGACGCTCGTTCGCCAGGCTGTAGGTAGCCATTGTCACTCTGGCAATCCTCCACGGGATTTTCTCCTTTTGCGAAACGCGACGCTTGAGTCCGGAAGTGGCTGTCGATTTGCGCCTGCGCGGAGAGCGCTCTCTAGCTGACACTACAGTTCCCAGGATGCTCAGCCCAGTCTCTCCTTTCTTGGTTCACCTGGCGAACTACAACTCCCAGGGTATGTTGCGCATGCTCAGGTCTGCGCCGCCGCCACAGGACCACCTGTGGTAAGAGGCAGTCTTGAAACATTCCCTAGCTAGAGGCCCTTCAGACCTGTCCACCTTCAGGACACAATGTTGTGGTCTATATTTAATTTCTTCTGCAAGAGTTTATTGAGCGTCTGCTGGTGCTAGGTGATGATAGTGGGAGCTCTGGGTTGTTCCTCCAGATTGGACAGCCATGGACCCGCTGTCTGCCCACCCCGCTCCGCCTTGTGTCGGGGCCTGGGGAAAGCTTGGTGACTTGGTGAGTGTTACATTATTCGCCCTAGCGCTTCCTCCTGAACAGGAGCCTAACTGAAACACAGACTATCAATATATTCTCAGAAGCTGGCTCCTTTCAGCCTTTTCCCCTTTACCTTTCTGGTTGCGTATTATTTGGTGCACTCTGGGGATACAAAGATGAATGAGATGGACTCTCAGGTGGTAGTGGGACAGAGTTTTCTTAGAGATATGCCTGGGGTGTGCCCCTAGGAGCACAGCGAAAGGGTTCTGGGAGGAAGTGCTGCTTGAACTGAATTTTAAGGGTTAACCACGTGGATGAGGGTTGGAGTGGAAAAGGGAATCAGCATAGGCAAACGCATGGTGCTGTGAAGGGGCCTAGCACATTTGAAGTACAGCAAGGGATTCAGTTTGACTGGAGTGTGGCAGTGTTGAGATGTGACGATGAGACTGGAGTGGGGAGCCAGATCAGGAAAAGGCTTGCAAGCTAAGTAATTTGGACTTTGTTGTGAAGGTATTTGGGAACCTTTGAAGGATTTTCAAGAAGTGCGTAACGACCAGATTTACCTTTTTGGAAATATCAATCTTGACAGCTTATGGAAGATTGAGAATGAAGCCAGTTTGCACAGGGTTAGCAAATGAATGGAGACTTTCAGTTAAACTTGAGGGATCTAGTATTTAACTTTACTTCTCTCCTAAATCCTAATAAGATAACAATAAGGAGATTTTATAAAAGGGTGAAAGAGAGAGGAGTTAATAGCAAACTTTAGATAGAAACTGGAAAACAGAAGGATAAGTGGTAACTGATTTAGCAGTGAAGTGGTAACTAAGCCAGCAGTGAAGAGAGCTTAGAAGCAACTTGATTACCCTTAAATTAGTGGCATCATGCACATCTGGGGTGTAGGTGGTACTAAAATTAGGAGGATGATTTGAAATAGTTAGACCCCCAGATCTCCTCCTTTACACCATATATCTCGGCAGCTACTCACCCCCAACCCGTCAGATTACTGGAGGTTTCTTTGTTGGAGATGGAAAACAGAGGGTCTTTGGCATGGGGGGCACCTGGGCACAGTTGTATTGAAAACAGAGATTAAGTGAAAGTTTATTTACTGAGTGGTGGTTTCTAGAACTCTGGCAACCAGGCTTATACCTTCCAGGTTGGAGATTGGAAGACTCCTGTCTGGAGAATTTCATTAGTCAGAGAAAAGACCTAAGGGTATTAACATCAGGGGTTCTCCAACAAAGCAGTTAGCCAGATCACCCCATAGTGAAACTAAGAGTTGAAGTCCCAACTGTGTCCGTAGATCTTCTGGTCAGCTTCTTACCATCTCACCCTTAAATATAAGCAGACATAAGGCAAAGGATTTCCAGATATTTGAAGAAACAGATTTTTAACATGAAAGGCAGAAATCAAAATAAACAGGAAAAAACAAAACAACACCTTAGACAATATGGAGTAAAACTTAAGGGAAAAAAAAAACTATTGACTCTTAGGTAAGAGATTCTATAGTAAAAGATTGAATCCAAGAATGCACACTTGAAAAATAAAACCATGAGGGAAGGAATGAAAAATCTAGCAGAAGGGTTGAAAGAGAAATTGAGGAACTCTCCAGCAAGTAAAGCAAAAGAAAAGAGGTGGTGTATAGGAAAGGAAAGATGAGAAAATTAGAGAATCAGTCCAGGGGGCTTAAATTCTACAAGAAGACAAGAGAAAATGAAGAGGAAGGAACATCTTGCACTTCCAGATGAAGAGGGTCCATCAAGTGCCCAGCATCAAGGCACATCATGAAATATCAGAATGCTAGGCTCAAAGGAAATGGTCTTGCAAAAGCTTCCAGAGAGAGAACAGACCACATGCTAAGGATCAGCAATCAGAATGGCACTGGGCCTCTTAATAGTAACACTCCACACTAGAAAGATGGTGGAGCAATGCCTTTGGTTTTGGGGGAAAGTGATTTCCAATCTAGAATTCTGTACTCCAGCTGTGCTAGGGTGAAGGCTAAAAATGCAATGATTCAACAGAATAGAACTTAATTTTTTCTCATGAAACAGTTCAGTGTGGGTAGTTCAGTGTGCTCCACAAATCATATATCGAGCAAGGCTAGCAGAGCACTTCTGCCCTCCTTTAGGGTCTTATACTCAAGAGTGTGGTCTATAGGCCAGCAGCATTGGCATTACCTAGAAGCTTGTTAGAAATGCAAAATCTCAGGCCCTACCCCAGACC